GGCATGTTGCGTATTGGCAATACAATCTTGGATATTTTTTTGTCATTCTGAATCTTTATGCATAGATATAAATAAGAAACAGATGAGGCGGTCTCACCGTCGCTGTGTGGAACTGAAACGTTCTGTTCTGTACCTGTTATCAATTCCTCCATTCCTTGAACCATTATCGTCCCCATACATATTTGGAATTCTCTGAGCCAGTAAAAAGAACGAATTGACGAATGGATCTCTCGATATAGCATTGTACCACAATTTGTACACAATTAATAATAAAATATACATAGTCAGAAATTGAAATAAATATCATTAGTGCTATAATCCAGGTCTTCATATGTGTCACTTTTTCAAGGAGAGGTCGGGTGCCTAGTGGTTTAAGCGTTCGCTCGTCACGAGTATGGTTTTACGTCGCTTTTAGCAATATTCCAGCAATATCACTGCGGGGAACACCAGAAATGGGCTTCACACATTGTACCCATGTCGGGAATCGAACCCGGGTCTTCGGCGTGACGAGCGAACGCTTAACCACAAGGCTACCCGACCGCCCCGTATTACTGTTGGTTTATTCATCAAAAATAATAATAATCAATAAGAAACGTCGTCTCTTTCAGCAGCATATTGTTGATTTTGTTATAATACACCTCCAGCTGGCAACTTCCAATACTTCTGTCAAAGCAAGAGCAACGAGACAAAAGTGTCGTTCCAAGCACCTCATTCAGTATAATTTAGTTACAGTACGTACAACTGTCTTATACATTCTGTACTTTTTACAACTGTTAAATGCCAAAACTTGTTGCTTACACGTCACAGCAAAAGGTATTACATGAATGTTTAACAACACTCTCACATACCTTTCTATTCAGGAAAGTGACTGTGCTTATGCATATACTTCATATGTTAGTAGCAAGGGAACATGTGCCCTTGTTCAAAACACACATATATATATTACATAGTTATGTATCCCTTGTGAAGAGAGAATCACAGTCAAGTATGTCCTGCTCGACTTTGTTGAATTTTCCATCACAAGCGATTACTATTTCACAGTTTCATCCATAAAGGATTTTTTTTAAATAATATAAGCTCTCATTTAATTATTTGGGGTTTTTTTAAGAAATAGAATTAGTTGATAAATTTTCACGTACAGAGTTTATTATACTAAATTGGCAGCAGCATGATTATTAACTGAGACTGTTGGTGGATGTGTCCTGGTCCATGTCATTCGAAGATCATTTATATCTACCGCTGTTATAAACTCAGTAGATTGTTAAATTATAATGTTTGGCGAACTATCACCAACATACCATAAGTCTCCATGGTCCCTTTTTTGGTGGCCTTACTTTGGTATATGGCGTCCTATACTCCTTTTATCTATGTAATAATTTCTTCTATTAAATTTCCCAAACTAGTTTTAAAAATAAAAATGTGATATATTGCTAGTTATTGTAATGTCTATCATTGACAGGCTTAAATGTTTTTTTCAGAACCTTGGTATCAAAGCTGTAATTCATGCAACAATATAATGCAGGATTGTTTAGTACATGTTATGAACGTAACGATATTCTGTGACAGACTAACCAATTCTAAATCATGTCGGGTGTGCGTTACTAACATGTGATAGCTACTTATAACCTTGATGGAATTAACTGCCATTGCATTTGATCTGCATCGGTAAATTCAACTTATCATTTTACAATTAAGGGCTGTGACAGATGGTTTACACTGCTGATCTGACTGTGTGCTAATGGTGCAATGTATATATTTGTTTGAACATTGGTTGTAGCTTTTACACAGAAATCGATATTGTTCGTAATATGTCCTAGACAATGTGCAAACACCATTACTATATTCAAATCATTGTTCAGACAAGGGAGACATTATCGTTCTAGTAAATTCGAAATTTCCAACTCTGTATGGGATATGTTGACGCTTAATGTAACTCAGTGTTAATTATGTAAAACCTAATTGTGTTTGCTATGTCATTCAACAATGTCCATTATGATGGAAATATCCAATGGGATGATCCTTCGTGATTCACCTCAGCTGACTCATCACTTTCGTGATGAACAACGACAATCAATCTGGATTAGTAACCTGGTATCACTGGGACCTCTTCCAGAGCCAATGCGATCTTGATATCCTCCAGTGCCGTCTTGATGTATCAACATTGATTACGCCATCAGACAATATACAGTTCACAACGCATATGCATCGATTCAATGAATATGTAACTAACGAAATGGTTTATAGCAATTAAGTAACTTATCAACATGTGTCAGTAATGAAAAGTACCCTCTACTTATGGAAAACCTGACCCTAAATCAACGACCAGCATACTATTTCTTCAACCTGATAATCCCTATCATGCTCCTATCTATTCTCAGCCATCTGGTGTTTTCTCTGCCAGTAGAATATGGAGACAAAGCGGCTCTCTCAATGACAGTTCTTCTTTCCTTCAGTGTGTTCCTCACTCAGATGACTGACATCATGTCCAGGACATCTCGACAGGCGTCCTACCTCACCATCTACCTGACCATCCTCCTTACTCTAAGTTCCCTCACTGTGGTAATGTCAGTTATCATTCTAATAGGTGTTCAGCAAACCATACTCGCCGTAAAAGGCAACTATGCTTGTCGTAAAAGGCGACTAACGGGATCGGCGTGGTCAGGCTCGCTGACTTGATTGATACATGTCATCGATCCCAAATGCGTGGCTCGATGCGCATGATATCAATCACTGGATTGTCTGGTCCAGACTCGATTATTTACAGACCGCCGTCATTTTGCTGGAATATTGCTGAGTGAGGCGTTAAACAACAAACCAACCAACCAACTACATCTACCTGACCATCCTCCTTATTCTAAGTTCCCTCTCTGTGGTAATGTCAGTTATCATCCCAAAAATCTACAAGCGACAAGAAGAGGTCCCGTTAATGTTGCAGCAATAGGTTATTTATTTCAAATGTTATTCATCAAATAGAAAACCAGATACTGATGTAGATGATGGCCATGTGCATGTTGAGAACAATCCTCAGAGGATCCAGCCTGGAAGTATGTGTCTGCCACTCTTGATGCAATTTGCCTGAGCGTCTTCCTCTTCATGAACATCATCTTCGGCATCGTTCTCTTTGCTGTCCTCATCGGAGTAACACGTTGACCGTTCACTTCATTAACAGTCCTGTGAGTCAGGTGGGCCCAGGAAGTGGATGATGAAACAACCAGAAATAAAACTTATCCTTTGAGTTTTATTTAGAAGGTGTTGTGATGAACCTTATAAGAAATGTCAATCAACATTCTGTACTTTTATCACTGGGTGAGAAAGCTGGTACCACGGAGATCTTTTCAAGAGCTAATGCGATCTTGATATCATACATTTTCCATTTGATTCTCAGAAGTGCAATCTTGTTTTATCAACATGGGTTACACCATCGTGTAATGTAAAATTCACACCAGTTATTCATAAATTCGATAAATATGTGACAGACTGACTGACTGACGATAGACCTGTGTCATTCATGCACACTACCCTTGACATTTTTCTAAATTTGACCCTAAGACGCCAATCATCATACTCTGTTTTCAACCTAAAATTCCCTAACTTGCTCCTATCCAGTCCCAGGTCCCTGATGTCTGCTTTGCCTTTAGAATACAAAGACAAAGTGTCTCTCTACATGACATTTCTTCTCTTTTACCGTGGTCCTGACCTATAACATGACCATGACATCCCGACAGACGTCCCACCTGATCTTTCTCCTCAATTAAACCTCTTCTTCTTTACAGGTATCAAATCATTGAAGTATAAACATTTAGTTTAAAAACACTAGGTTTTTCCCCATTGTACCATTACACACTCACGAAACAAACGTGCGCACTTTGGTTATAGGATGGTTATTTGGTGTAGCATCGGTAGAGTCTACTATTTTAAGTAGGTTTAAAGTGCGATTTCAGGCATCAGTGGTGATAAGTTTAAATGTGCGTGTATGCCTGCTGTATGTACCCAGACCATTTTTCACCATAATACTTCAACCGCCTCAATAGACACACAAAAATCATGTAGGCAGATACCATGAACGTTTCATTCAAACTGACATACAAAACAAAATGGATCGAACTTTGTAACCATGAAATCAGTTAGTCATCGATGGGGGTATTCAAATATACGGAAGCTGTTGTAATTCAGTCCATGTTGATCTAAATCTTGTTTAGCTGTCATCGTGTTTGCTGTCATGTGCAGAAACGCTAAAGGGAATATATAATGTGTTAACCAACGCTCGTTCTAGCCTCGTTGCAGTAGGCTGATCACCGTTATTACACGGCCACAAAGGGAGACGTGGCAGAGGAAATTATACATTGAGGATGCCTGTGACAGTATTCAACGTTTTCATGAAATTTGTTTTCTTCACCACTATGTTCGTTCAAATTCACGGGAACATGTTCCCTGAACAAGGGAGGCTTTTACAACATCTGCTTAACAACAGCAATCCAGAACTGTTTTCTGGAAAACGTTTTTTCAATATTGGAATTACCTATGTCCATTCACAGATACTTGAAATTGATGAACAGCGACAATCAATCACCACCAGTGGGTGGTTCAAATTCCAGTGGGTTGACGAAACCTTGAAGTGGAACATCTCAGATTTCAATGACACCGGGCTGATTTACCTGTCTGGTGATAAAATCTGGACCCCTGATGTACTGCTCATCAATTCAGTTACAGAAAGGAAACCTTTCAACCAAATTCCTGTGCCTGTATCTGTGGAACACACTGGATTAGTAATCTGGTACTACGCGGATCACCTCCAGAGTCAATGTGATCTTGATAGTCAACATTTTCCTTTTGATACTCAGAAGTGCAGTCTTGTTGTATCAACATTGATTACTCCATCAGACAATATAAAGTTCACATCACATATGCATCGATTCGATGAATTTATAAATAACGAAAATGGTTTATGGCAATTAAACAACTTATCAACATGTGTCGGTAATGAAAAGTACCCTCGACTTATGGTAAACCTGACCCTAAATCGACGACCATCATACTATGTCTTCAACCTGATGATCCCTATCATGCTCCTATCCACTCTGAGTTCCCTGGTGTTTGCTCTGCCAGTAGAATATGGAGACAAAGTGGCTTTCTCAATGACAGTTCTTCTTTCCTTCAGTGTGTTCCTCACTCAGATGACTGACATCATGCCCAGGACATCTCGACAGGCGTCCTACCTCACCATCTACCTGACCATCCTCCTTACTCTAAGTTCCCTCACTGTGGTAATGTCAGTTATCATTCTAAATATCTACAAGCGGCAAGGAGAGGTCCCGTTAATGCTGCAGAAATTGGTTATACGTGTAAAATGTCCTACAAATAAGAAACTGGATCCTGATGTAGGTGAAGGCCATGATGAAGATCCATCATGGCAGGAAGTGTCTGCCAAGCTTGATGCAGTGTTCCTGAGGGTATTTCTCTTCATGAACATCATCCTCGGCGTTGTTCTCTTCACCGTTGTCATCGAAGCTGACAGGTTGTTCACCTCCTCCAGTCAATCTTAAACACTCTGAAAAGCGACTTGGACGATATCGATTTGCATGGACATTTATTTGTTTTGTCAGCGGAGATAGAGTGGTTTGAAAGTGATCTACACTGATATGTTGTGTACGTAAGTAACCGAAAACAAACAATTAAGCATCATAAATTTAAAACTTCACATTTTTAAAAGTAATCCCATATATGATATTGATATGATAGTTGACATAGTAATATAATCGATAAGAATATTGATCTTCACATTTTTGTATTATTCTTTTACCAGGATATCTTTTCTACGTGAGATACATCTGTCTTCACAAAGACTTTGTGTGTATTACTAGATCTCCTAGCATTATTTGACATTTGCATTCCGTGTCTCTGTTCGTAGGTGAGATATATATCTTAATCAGTTTCTGCAATGCGCTTTATGTGAGTGTTAGGACAGTGACGCTTGGGACAGCTATCCTTGGGAAGATGTGTGTAATGCTGTGTGTAAAGACAATATAGTTTGGGACTAGTTTGTTTACGAATATCGATACTCAAGCCATATTTGGGGCTCTATCTAATAACTAATTATGGTAACATTCGACTGGTAAACTAATATTTGACGCCGTGTTTTCTGCGTTTACCATGTAAATACTGTTTTGAAATTATACATAAATTAATCGATATATTACGTAAATCACGTATTCGTAAATAATTCCAAATCATTGGATGTTAAACGGGGGAAAAACTTAATCACTCACTCACTCTGAACAAATATATTTTTAATATTGGCCACTGATGTGTTTATTTATAATGTGTTTGTTTCTCTGTATATCGTCTCATTATACAGTTACTTTAAGAATAAAAGATATAAACACTTTTCTTTTTTGTTGTTTTTGTTTATATTTTTTCCAATTCTTATGGACAAAAGCATGAAATATTCGTGTCCCTCGCGAATATTGCATGTCCGGTTGTGTGCAAGGCAAAAATATTGTACAGTTTTCAAGATCTGCTCCGGAAACGAGCACTACCGCCATTTTCACTCTAAGTCTAAGTCGTTGCTGTGAAAACTCGAAAAATATTTTTTTTTTTAAATCCCAAACTATCAAAAGGCACCAGTTTACCACTTGACCTATATATGTGCCAGATTTGGGGAAGAAATATTGTACGGTTTTCAAGATCTGCTCCGGAACGGAGCACTTCCGCCATTTTCAACTCAAAGCCGTTGCCATGGAAACTCGAAAAATAAATTTGTCAGCAAAAAAAACCCCTAATGATATACCCTTTTCTATGGATGACAATATGTATGCATTATTCACTTATGCTTTTATTATGACTGCAAATTATCTGGTGAAATGGAAGCTTACCGTTCCTTGAGTGGGAGCAAGGAATGTAGTTTCGTAGTATGAGCTGATGTAGTTTCGTGTGTTGGCACAAAGAGAATCGGTTTCCATTTCGCAGGTAACTAGAGTTAATTCAGTTATTCAGTCAACATTAACAGATTAGTTTCTAACTGTGCTTGCTATGTACATATGTGAGGAATGCTGCTGAAAGTGTATAATGCGTAATGCTTGTCACCACTGATCATCCAACGCAGATGACGCACTAACATGTGAATGCGTTGAATGAGACTTTTTACAACTCAATTGTGGCTAAACATTACGTACAATCGCCAGCGACAAGGGATGGTGTAAATCCTGCTGGTGTCCTTGCAGGAACCAAAGGAACTGTAAGTCCCCATGCTCCCTAGTATGGTGGCCTACCTTCAGTGGCTGACGATCTATAGCTCGTTCTTATCATGTATTTTTACGTATGGTGATATATCTTAATTGTCCTATACTGGTTTCAAAAAAATCTGAGATTAGTCTAGTTATTTTACTGTCCTTTGACGACAGGTTTTATACAGTCTAAATATATCTATTTTGAATGTAGTACTTTCTCCCGTCACCTTTTCCGTTTGATACTCAGAAGTGAGGTCTACATATCAACCGAAACAGATAATATAGGATGGAATACAAAATCAGATAATATAGAATTCCAAACACGTATGCATGAAGTAGATGATTATGTTGCTAATGAGAATGGATTATTGTTAGTATAGAACATTTCAACATCTGCCAACTAATTGTAAACCTCACCATTAAGCGCCAACCATCATACCATGTTTTCAACCTGATAATTCCTATTATGCTTCAATCCTTTTCAAATCACTGGCGTTTGCTCTGGAAGTAGACTACGGGGACATGGCGGTTACTCGTGTCCGTCCGATACCATTGTTTCTTTCAAAACGTATCTAACGGCGGAAAGCGAGTTGTTTCAAAACGTATCTGACACGCACGAGTGCAGTAACCTGTCGCACCTTTGTAGATCGAATCGATGCATTTTTGCTATTCTCATGATCGCAGTGGCGCATTAATACATAACACAACGGTCATTATTGACGTCACCCGGCGTACTGCTTACTACTCATTAATAATGTGAGCCTACACAAAAAGGTTTCCGCTATATCTGTGAGTTATCAAGATCAAACAACCCGCTGGAGTTAAATCTCTTGGTTACATTGGAAAACATAAAAACAATAACAGTACGCAGATTTTCTGATGGTTTCTGATTACGTACCTGACACATCTAAGTTGATACAATACTTCGTTCAACGAAAGACCTTCTCCGAAAATCCCGCGAAGTGCCATTTTGTAATAGTCGGTCAACAGTAGTGATGTCTGAAGTAAACATAGTTGTACATATTTGCTAATTTCTTTGAGGTGAAAATGATTATTTAGTCGGGAAATGCAGATAAATACCGTCGTCGTTGAACGTGATTTTGCCTCAGTCATGGCGCCACACAGGACGGAAACATTTACGCTTTCTGCTGAATTTACCCGATCATTGTAATGTATATATTTTCAAATCCATAATTCGTGCTGATATACTCTTCTCATGAATATGCTCGAACATGTTTACCGATATATGCAATAATTAGAGGAATGGATCTCTCAAAATCGGAGAGAATACTGCACAGTGTAAAATCTGAATTTTGCGTTGTTTACGTTTCAAACAAGTACAGTTTTCCGTGCACAGCGTTCGTTTCCACACCCAATTTATTTCGGCTGATTTCATCTTGATCATTTTTATTGGTGTTCAAAACATACAGTAAATAATTCACACCGTGAATGGTGATTTGATAATGTGTCACATTCTGAAATGTATGAGGGATTCAGGGATGTATGTGTCGCAGCTGAGTTTCAAATATACGCGATGTAATAGGCGTCTCATAACCAGCATACGTGAAATCTGACGATTCTAACGATTCTATGCTTATCGGCGACGTTTCACAATTATCATTGGTGATTTTATAAATGACAGATAGAAATGTAACCGTTATTTTTTAAATTCTATTCTAGGAGTAAATATCCGATATTTAGACTTCAAAACATACAGTAAATAATAACGCCCTGAATGGTGATTTAATAATGTATCAGAAATGGCGAGATTTACGATGTACCTAATTTTCAGAGGTCAATTCCAGTAATGTTCCTTTGCCTAAAACCATAGTGGATGATATCATAGAAAATGGAAATGTTCACAGAATTCAAGACTGTGAAGTGAATGAGTGTATTATGAATTTTATTCGACTTTTATCCGAAGTGTGTGTTGACGAGGAGGGATATATATGTCGCTATGGCATCCAGAGGGTTAACACACTAAAACCATAACGTTCAACACCGACGTAAGTGAGACTTACGACCAGGAAATGAGTCCGTCATAATCGGACCATCAGGTCATCACCATCAGGTCATCATCAAGTACTAGCCAATCACGGCCCTGGAATTGATCTCATACACATGTTTGATACCAGTTGTCTCAAATGGGTTTCTCACCCACAAGTGTGTAAGTGTGTCTCTTCATGGCCGTTCCTCTCTCCTTTTGGGGTGTCCCTGACTCAGATAACAAACAATTTGCCCAGAATGTCCCGACGGACGTCTTACCTCACAACCCATCTGACCATCTTCCTCGCCCTCAGCTCCTTCCGTGTGGTCATGTCAGGTATCCTCAGGGTGTACAGGCGGCGAGGAGAGGTCCCGTTAATGTTGCAGCAATTAGTAATCTAGTGGAGATGTCCTTCCAATAAGGAACTGGGTCCTTATGCAAATGAAAACGATGTTGATGATGTGAATGAACAGAAGTGCACAGAGGATCTGAACTGTAAGGATGTGTCTGCCACACTTGATGGCAAGGCTGTATAATGAACGTCGCCTTTTCAGTAAATAAAGAAGTTTTCATCCATAAATTGTCTCTGCTTTGTCATCCATAAACTTTTGAGTAATGCCTATCAAACAATTCTTACGAGTCCGGTTGACTCGCGAAGTTGTTAATTAAACACACACACAAAACGACTAGGTTTTAAACGTTCTGTTTGCTTGAAGATATCACTTAGTATGGACATATATATGTCAGCGTAGATAGTAGTTGTGTGCATTCTTAAAAAATACACTTAAACTTTATTCCTGTGTTACCAACAGACAATACGCAATCGTATAGATCTGTGTAACATAAAGGCGTTAGTGTTTAGTGTATTTCAAACATTCTTAAAAACTCCATTTTGAAGTCCTTTTCAGTTTGGTGAGTGAGTGAGTGAGTGAGTGAGTGAGTGAGTGAGTGAGTGAGTGAGTGAGTGAGTGAGTGAGTGAGTGAGTGAGTGAGTGAGTGAGTGAGTAGGTTTTACGCCGCTTTTAGCAGTATTTCAGCAAGATCACGGCGGTGGACACCAGAAATGGGCTTCACACATTGTACCCATGTCGGAAATCGAACCCGGGTCTTTGGCGTGACGAGCGAACACTTTAACCACTAGGCTACATGACCGCCCCTTTGCAGTTTGGATTGTTTATAAATCTGTTATATAAATAAGGATAAATGATCATATATAAATATCAATCAATTATTGTCATCATCTGCATAAAAGAAAATATGCTTATGGAAAGTCTGTTATAATGTGTTGCAGAAAATTATTAAGCATTATGGTATAATATGTAAATACATA